GATCTGAAATGCCATGGAAAAAGAATTGATAATAAGACAAGAATATAGATGTTAAAGATGTAAAGAAGAGGGTGCAACCAAATAAGGAAAAAGATTTGAAACAAAAGATGTGAGAAGATAATCAAATAGAAATATTTATAGGGGATCTGCAAAGTAGAAAAAATTAATCGACCTTTAAGTACACACAGCTTAAAACCATCAGTTCCCAAAAGTAAAGATTTTCTACCAGAGGAAGGAACTCAAGAAAATGAAAGTCTGAAAGAAATTCTACTCAAAGGTGTTACTTATGGAATGAAGTGGTTGGGTTTTAAACTTGGTCAAAACAATGGATAGTGATCTATAGTGATGATCTGTGGGTAATGAAATTAAAGGTTGGAAGAGTATTCATCTGAACCATTAATGGAACAATAAATTACTTCCAAAGTTGCACTTAGAGTTTTGATATATTTAGACAAAACAATGACGAGTGAGTTAGGTAAAGTCTTAGCTTTAGCAAATTATTTAAAATATATAGTATACAAATGTTTAATAAAGCATACATACCTAGTCTGATCTAGAGTTTATAAAAAAATATATATATATATATATAAATTAACTTAAAATAAATATAAAGATTTTAACTTTTAATCAAAAAACCAATTTATTATTTAAAAAGTTTAATAAGAATAAGATTTTGCAATTTATATTATCTATTTTTTGTGTGACTTTAAAAAAAAAACAAATTTTAAAACTTTTTTTTTAATTATTAATAATATTATTGGGATATATAAATATGATTAATAGAAATTGTTTATATTTATAAACTAGTATATTTTATTTTTATTTATTTTTTTTTTTTAACAAGATAACGAAACCCAGTTTATTGAAGTCAATAGAATGGCCTTATATATATAGCTACTAATATACAGAGTGATTCTATAATCAGTATTACTGCTGGTTATATGCAAGCTATATGCACCTTACCATTATATCAATGAAACCTGATTGATCACTTAAGCCCCATCATGGCTTGTTGCTGAAAGAAGCTCTACTACCCCCACCTACGTCTGTATTACCCTTCTCTTACCCTCATTTCTCCAGGTATGGAGTCTGTAATACAGAACCTCTTTCATATCTCGTCCCACCGAATATTTTTTTTACAGTACTTATTACAGTATACCTACAGAATATCCACGTGGAGTCTTAGATGTCATCTCGTCCTACTGGACCACTTTTTTTATATGACTTATTACAGCCTACCTATGGAGTGACTACGTGGAGTCTTGGATAGATGTCGATTTGGTAGAGACCTTCTTCTAACTAACGTGCCTAGGCTTCATTAGCCTCCTCGAATTACGGTGTGCAGATCTTCAATCTATTTGCAGGAGCATACGAGAACCTGTCTTTTGTGACGAGGTGACTTCAACACTAAAACCGGTTGAAGCATCTTGTAATCTTTTGATTATCCTATTATCAGATGGGATCTTGGCCAGAGATGGCAGTGATTATTATCATGGGGTGGATGTGATCTTCCTATACCACCTAGGCTTAGGTGGTATTGCTTCACAGTGATATTGAACTCGGAAGCAGTGCATGGAGACCTGAAAGTGTTACCACTATACTATTGACCCACAGGTCTACTAGTATATTTCATATTAATCAATCAGTTTTGCTAAATATTTATATTATTTAAAATTTAAAGTCAAATTGAGATAAACAAAGTTTTTAAAAAATTATAAAAGTAAAAGCTCTAAAAGAATCAAAATAATTTAGCAAAAGTAAAAAAACAAAATTTTTTATTATAAAAAATCTTTATAACTTCTTGCTTGAAAGATTGAAAAATTTTTAAATATCTTGCAGTCAATTTTTTTTTTTTTGAAAACTTTTTTATTATTGATATCAAACATATTACTTGATTTTTTTTTTTTTATTATCAAAAGTCATGTTTTTGAATAAAGAGATTTAAAATAAGAAAAATAAAATAAAAACAATTTTTAAAGTTATATTTTAAGTTGTTTTAAGAAAAGTATTAAAATTTTATTAGCAAAAAAGTAAAGAAACTTTTTATAAATATTTTTTTTATATATGATAAGAGAATTAATAGAAAGAATAATTATTTTACAAATGTTTAAAAAACTTATTTTTTAATTAATATGTTTTATAAATTTGTTTATTATTTTACAAATGTTTAAAAAACTTATTTTTTAATTAATATATTCTATAAATTTGTTTATTATATTTTTTATATTAATATTGAAAGTGTTGCTTAATTGAAATAAAATAATTTTTTCAAAAACTTTATAAAAATTTAAAAACTTTACTTTTAATCAATTCCTTTTATTATTTGAAAAGCTTAATTAAAAAATGAAAAATTATTAATTTACTTTATTTATTATTTATCTTTTAAGAATTTATTTAATTAAAAAAATTTTTCTTTAAAATTTTTTCTTTTTTAATTAATAATATTCTTAAAACAAATATCTACAATATAATTATTGAATGTTTATTTATATTTTAAAAATTAATCTATTTTATGTTCATTAATGGTTTTTAATAAAAAATTATAAGATCGAAAATTTTAAAAAATTATAAAAGTAAAGTTTTAAATTGATAATAAACTTGTATTGCCACGTGAGCGACTCGATCTACATTAATTTGTTTCTTTTTTCGTAACGCGTAAATCGTATCGCTCATATTTTCGATAATTTAATAATTGATAAAATAGCAATATTATATTCCTTAGATTGAACTTTGTTTTTGATTGTATTAATAAAGATCATGGTCTAAAAAAACAACAACATAAGTTTAATAAAAAAAAAAAATACAGGATGTAGGGTTTTACCTTTTAATTTACCTTTTAAATTAAAAATGTTACGTATAGTAATGTACATCTTATTTAGTTATACAGATTCCTTTTTAGAACTCACCTTTGATATTTCCGTGACACAAAATTATTTAGTTTTGATACTAAGCCACCTGACGAACATCTATATAAACCAGGTTGAGGGTGTAATTTCACACGCTGCTCAACATGACAGATGCGATAGGAGATAGCCACGTTCACACACTCGAGGAAATTAGCGTTGAAATATCTTTGAACGATAAGGCAAATAAAATAGCATATTTTCCGCAATTGGTGAATCAATCAAAACCGATAAATTCACAATCCCGATTTTTGGGTAATAATTATTTAGAAGACGAGGAAGGTTTGGAGGAATTGGTTATAAATGAGACAGAAGAATTCTTAGAAAACTTGATGCATGAAGAACGACCAGAGTCCGCATTTTATGCTATATCGAGACCAGATGTTACACCGGGTCTATTTGGTGCTGGAATTTTTCAACCACCAGAAAACATCTACAAGCTTTTCAAGTATAATTCTCAAGTAAATGAAACTTTGGAGGAAAAGAATAGTTCAGTCATCAAGGTCACAAAGACTAGAACTCGAAAAAACCCGTCTATACCTTCGAGTAAGCCGAAAGGCAAGAAACCCATGAAACAGGAGCTCTCAAGTAATGAAGATAAGATGGATGCTGATAATGGACATGTGAAAAAACAATCAAAACGACAACTAATTGAAGTAAAACCAAAGAAGCGTACAAATAAACCTAAACCTTCCGAATGTCATTTGCCTTCCAAAAAGGAAATAGGGATAATTGAGAAGGTTCAGAGAATGATAGAAAAACGTAAACGTCGCAAGGAATTGAAAGAAAAAAGAAACGTTATCAAGGAGAGTATTAATAACGTGATCGGTTCACCATCACCAAAAAACACATCCATCAAAAATATCAAAATAAAAAGAGGAGATTTTGATGACGCCTCGATCAGTCCAGCGCTGTCAAAGAACACGCTCACAAAAACTATCAAAGCGAAAAGGGATTTTGATGACTCCTCTTCGACCAGTTCGCTGTCATCATCCTCAAGCGAATCGTCATCGAAAAGAAAACGCAGGCTTGATAGATTTTCCAGGAGTTCTTCAACTTCGTCAACCGTAAAATCAGCCAAGACCAGTTCACTAAAAAAGAAACAAAAGAAAACTCATGGAAATCACGAATCGGAAAGCTCAACAGAAAAGGCGTCCATGGCAGTACTTTCTTCAGATTCGACTGTATGAATTTATTTCTGGCTATTTTCAGTCAATCTTCCCTTCTTCTATCGAACTTTAAGTGAATGCAAGTAGCGACGATATGACCGAGTCCATAGGGTATCATTCTCCTATGGTAAAGAATTTTGGAGACATTTCCATGTAGCGATCAAGACATTTTAATTATACGTAGAGAATACAGGTCTTGTATAAGTAACATTCACATAGGGCATTTCAATATGATCCTTAAAAATTTTGTAGACATGTAACTAGAACGAACTAGTGTATAAAAAAAAAAAAAAAAGAAAAGAAAAGAAAAGAAAAAAAGCATATGTAAATGTAGCTTAAAAATGTATATTTTAATGCTTGATGAACAGGACGTCATATGCACAAATGCTTCGGTTCATACGCCTCACGTGAAAAGTGTGAACAAATGCTGATACGCCGCAATTACACGAGTTTCAAAATGTCTTCCACGAAACCTCCGACGGATCTTGACTCCAATCTGAAATTGCTGCGGACTTCGTTGAATGTACGTTCTTCACAGTGGAATTTATCTTTCGGATTGATATATGATAGAAACAATTTTTTTATGTAGGCAATATACGTCTACACCGGTAATATGCTCGAAGCGAGAATATCGCAAGGGCAAAGAAAGTAATTTCTAAACCGTACATCTCTTTAACCCTTTTGAAAGTCACGTTAGATTCGTTCGCATCTTTTCTCACTGTAGCTCGAGACAAGCTGTTTCGGTAGAACCTTCGCGAGAAGACTTGGAACACATAGAAACTTTTAGAAGACAGTTCAACGAAGTATGCGATGAACTATTTATGAACTTGGTATGTCAAATCATTAACTTTTTATCATGGCTACCACGATTCATAATACATAAAAGCTAGAACAAAGTGAAGTTAAAAGATCTATATATTCAACCTATTCGCAGCAACTTGCCAAAGAAACCTTCGAACGTGAACTCCAGTCAAAGGGCTCAGCGAACGATGGCAAAACCAAAGGTGAATTTTTTACTGCAGAAGAGACCAAAAGGTACAATGACAAAATTGCTTTATTGGAAGGATTCCTGGGAATAGATGGGTCAGCAGCATCCGAAAATATGTGAAGACAATTTTTCTATAATGATTTTATTAAGTTTACGTACGTTGTGTTACGAAACTTTAGGGGTGTTTATCACGATTTCGTTCTCGTTTAATTAAGTAATATTTTCAATAATTTACATTTAATCGGAAAATTATTATATAACAGAGATGCTAGACAATGTTGCCTGTGCCTCGATTGCCTATCCGGGGTTGGAAATAATTGAGTATTTGATTTGGTCACGACGAAAGGAATTAATAAGATTATCACAAACCTCAATTGCCTGTTTGACTTCCAAATGATTCCTGGCTGATTTAATCCAGTCATCAGCCAGCTTTTTCGGCCATCCTTTTAATTGATTTAATTCTCGTGCTGCATTGTCCAAATCATTTTCATTGAGATGATATTGAACCCTAGCAAGTATGGCTTCTACATCGTTCCCATCCACGTAACCATGTTTACGAAACATGATTTTAGACAACATGATGGACAAAAGATGAGACAAAATGCCACCATTTTCGGGCACCAAAGAAGCCCGCCTGACCTCTTCCTTTACAGTAAGGAATCGTGCCGATAAATCAGAAATGGAATCAACGCCATTGATAGCGACTGAATCATCGATCGTTGACAAAACCGTTGTCACCACTTCATCTGTTGAAGATAAACGCCTCAATGAGACAATCTGATCGGCAAACGGTATTCGGTGAGGCTGTTCAACCGCGTCTTGTAAGGCTTTTAGTGCACACCACAATTGATGTATTTTCGTACTGTTATCTAAACGTTCGACGTTATCCACGCTCAGACGTTCAAGTACCTTGAGACGATAGTTAATTTAGTCGAGTTTTCCTAATCTTCCACCACGTTCTCGTTCAACCACGTACTTAACTTCTCTAATCCATCGACGATGCATATCAACAGCCTGCCGAACGAGCTCGTCTTTTAACTCTTTCTCATGCTTTTCCGCTGCTTGTTTAAGCCTGGCGTTAAGTTTTTCGTAGTGTTCCTCATGAAGTTTTTGTTTTTCCTGCTTAAAATCTTGTTTTATGGAAACTACTTTCTCCGCGATGTAATCATCCACATTTTGCTCATAGTCGGCCACCGTCTTGTTGAATTTCTGCGTCAGTTCAGATAAATTTTTTTGTAATTCATCTTGCGATTCAATTTTAAGAGTCTCGATATGATTGTTAAGTTCGATTAACTCTTCCTTGGCCTTTTTTAAAATGCCCTCACCCTTGTCTTTTATATCATAATTTCTCAGAATAGCATCCAATTCGCTGAGGGTATTTGCGAGTTTACGAATGATGGGTTCCTCGGTGGATATAATTTCCTCGGAGATTTCATCACCATCCCTTTCGGCTAGTTTTATATTGATCTCTTTGGGCGTTATGGGAACCACATCGGGCGACTTCTCAGAAGGCAAAGGTTTCTCGGGTGGTGTAGGAGAACCAAAGATGCCTGAAACTTTTTCGTAAAAATTATCGCGCCACTTAATTGCGTTGCTTTCAATTCGGTTAAAGGTCCCTTGAGTTTGGAGATCCTCCACATATTCTACGACCTGTTCTGCTCCGTAAACATTGCTCGTGAACCAAGAACAGAAACCATCATCCTTTAACGAATAATATACAGCTCCACCATAGGAAATTCCACCCAAGAGTGTTATACCAAACAAGGCTTTACCAAACCCAAAACCACCTTTTTTAGCCGAATTATGTGATTCTGATTCCGTTTTATCGGGCTTTGTTTCAACCGGTTCTTGTGTGGTCTTCTGTTCCGAAGTCGGTTTCGTCGATTCCGGGGTAGCCGCTTTTTTTTCCTTGATGGACTTTTCTTTTGCGGAAATTTCACTGCTAGAAAATCTCTGTTGTCGGAATTGTGTTTCAAAAAGTCATTATCGTCTCTAATTTGAATGATCACTATATTATGTAAAGGTTTAAAAAAACCTTTAAAATAAAAAAAAAAGCAAAGCAAATAATTATTCGAGACCTTTGCAACATTGTAACGTTGTCTCGAAGCGGAGGAAAGCAAGTATGTTGTCCGCGCTCTAGGAACCTGCCGTATGGTTTTCAACATGCTTAACGTTTAATGACTTGATAATTTTTTTTTTTTTAGGTTTTTCGGGTATTATAATCAGATCAGAAATTACTGTAGATAACAGATTTTACAGTATACATACTTACATACAATATATAGCATATATAGATATAATTTTCCGAAATATCGATTTTGCAATCATGCTTACAATGATCAAAACGTTTTGGAGAAGATGGTAATAAAATTATATTGACGCTTCAATTAAATTATTTAAAAAATATGTAGAACTAGTTCAAACAAAGTCTCAACTATATACCCTAAGTCCAATTTAAGAGATATTGTACCTAGGTCTCCTGACTGGGAAATCATTATTAACAATTTGTTATTGTTGTGTATCCTGAATTCAATAAATTATTAAATTATAAAAGAGAAGAGAAAAGAAAAAAGAAAGAAAAGTTAAAATACACAAGTGTACTAATTAGAAAATAAAAAATAAAAACAATTCAAATTTTTTGTCTATAATATCTATTAATCTTTTTCAATAAAAATATACAGTATAATAATCGAAATATATTTTTTTTATTTTGAAAAACTTAACTATTCTTAATCCTGAAAATTTTTCATATAATTATCTAAGAAACTTATTCTTTTATTATATACGGATATATTTATGATATCTTAAATTAATATTATAGTGTTAAAAAGTTCACTTAATCAAAATAAATGAAAAATTAATTTTAAAAAATTTGATCTAATTAAAACAATAGATACAAAAAGATTTTAATTCTGTTCAATATGATTCTTTCACATTCAAAAACTTAGATAAATATTAAAATATGCTATAATATATATTGGTTATTTATTAGAAGCTCAATAAACACGTTGAGTTTAAAGTAATAGTTGTTACCTTCAAAATTGTTTAAAAAAATAAACTATCAAGTTTCTACACAAATATTATCATCTTTATCCTTGAACCAATGACCTTTACAGCTTTCAACACATTTTTATAAACTCTCTAACTTATAGATAATGATTACAAAATAGTCATAAAAGAAGGCATGATCAAAAAACTTAACTATAATCTTATATTTTTTAAAATAAACTTGATATATTAACTGATAAAACTTTTTTTCTAAAACAAAAAACTCAAAACCTCATATTCCTTCAAATATCTCAGTAATAAATGAGAAAATAATTTATAATAATGAAATGCAAATAAAATATAAATATAAAATAATCCAATCTATTCTACATTACTTCATATGTAAAACATATTTATTATTCAATTAATCATATCTAAATTAGTAATAATAAATAAATAATCAATAAAATCTAAATTAATTACAAATTTTTTTTTTGAGTACCCATAACCAGGCTAGATTGTCAGTTTATTAATCAAATGAAAACAAAAGTATATTTTCATTCGAGCAGCATGATACATACTACAGCTAAACTATTATTCTAATCTAACTAA